ATATGGTGATATGGAAAACTACAGAATTGTGGAAACACTGATAGAAGTGTATGGAAGACAGAACCTGTTTGATGCACCCATTTTGCACTTCCTATTTGGTCTTTTAAGTAAAAAGGGAATGGGAGAAATGCAGAAGATCTCTGCCTGCAGGTTTCCTTGGAGGACATGGTTGTACCTGCAATGGCACATCCTAGAGGAAGCCCTATACCATCAACCATATTCTCTGGGTTTACTCCATTGTCTGTATGAGATTCAGGATAAGGAGCTCCTGACATTTGTGATGGAAAACTATCAAGAAACAAGGATGCATGCCCCAGTGGATATGCTACATCCAAGGTTCCTGACAAACATGAAGCATCTGCTGGTCCAGACAGACGTGGAGCTCATGGTGGTCACTTTCTGCATTAAGTTCTGCTGCCATGTGGAGAGGCTTCAGCTGAATCATGGTGGGCAGCAGGAGAAAGGGCTGACGGCCCCAAGGATGGTTCTGTGAGTATGCAGACACAGTCCTCTCTCCAGCTTCCCTGTAGATCCCATGAGCACACATGTTCTGAACACCAGCAGCACTCTTAGCTGGTTCCATGGCAGCAGCATACAGGTCATCAGTAATATCTAATTGCTAAATCTGATTATCTTTCTGTGCTTCCCTCTGTGTGCCTGACTATGTGACAAGCTATGAGCTTTTATCTCTCCCTATGCCTCGGCAAGGACCACCTACCTTCTCTGATTCAAATTTTCCTCACCCTTCACAAGGTTCAAATGGCACACAGTGACTCATGCTGTCTCTTACCATGCTTTCTCTCTGAGAGACTGCTCACTCAACTCCTACAGACACTATCCCCTATCCCCATAACCCCATAAAGATGACCTTGGCACTGAGGTCCTTCTATGATCACCTCAGAAGGTGTGTATATATATGAGAGTCCCTATATTTTTCCTGTCCAGATTACTTCCCTATATGTGTCAATGAAGGCTGCATGGGCCTGGCACTCAGCCTGAAGGCTTCCTAACTACCTGCCAATCCAGCAGCAGTGTAGACCTCCCCTTCCAGAGTCTCCTACCGCCGTGCAGAAGTGATGACTCAGTATCAATATATGCTTCTCTCCTCTATAGATGATTCATTAAGTGCTGATTTTATGTCACACCCTACCAATCAATTGCAAGAGGAGACGTAGAGTTGCTGCCCCGAGGATTTCAAAACTGGGAGAGAAGACAGCGAACTACTCTAATTAGGACATGACTCTTGCAATAATAAGGAACATGCTAGTGCTCTTGAGTTGAGGACTTTAACAACAAAGCAAGAACCCATGTGAAAAACTCAAAAGTAGTAGAGCAAAGGTTGGAGAACAGGAAGAAGATGAAGAGATGAGGGGAAACGGGTCAAAAAGAACAAATGTGATCAAACTTTCTTACATGTAGGAAGTTGTCTCAGTGACTCTCACTTTATATGATTAGAATGGACCAATAAAAACATGC